GTGAGGGCTCTATAGGAGTGAGGGCTCTATGGGGCCCGGGTGCACTGACCCCTACTTGGCGCATGGCAAGCTCCACGTGGGTAGAAGACCAGCCTCTGTGGGGCAAGGGCTCTGGGGGACAGCCTCTGGCAGGGCACGCAGGCTCCCTGTACCCAGGAGGCAATGGAAAGCCAGCAGGTCCCACTGGCAGGGACAGATTCGGGTCACCTCGTGTCTGCGCCCTGCTTCACATCCTGTGCTTCACTCTGGGAGCAGTAATTGATTAATGGCTTCACTGCATGAGGGGCAGTGGATATGTTGATTGCTTTTGCTGGCAGTGTCAAGGTCGGGATGCAGAGGGCAGGGGAAGGGACTGGATTGATTCTCAGGTGGACTAGGTCAGGGATCAAAAACTCCTAAAGAGGATATAAATCCCAAATCAGCCTGAGGACTCCACAGGCAGTGTCCATTGTCCTCAGTCCTCACACGGAACTCTGTGCACACCACTTGGACCTCCTGCCTCAGGGCTTGTGAGAATATCAGTGCAGTGCATGAAAATGGCTTTATTTGACAACTAAATTGTCCTCCCTTCCCGGGGTCCAACCTTGAGAATCACAGAGGGGCAACAAAGACAACATCCCACTACAGGAAGCTGTGAAGAGCAGGGCAAGGAAGCGGCAAAATCTCTTTACACCAGGGAGCCCTGGTCGCCAAACACCCTCAGCAGGGGAACACCTTTGCAGTGGACATGCAAGGAAGGAAATCTGGCAGAAACAGGGAAAACGCCTGCTTCACAGATGGTAAAAAGGAGGGAAGCAGGAAAAAAAGTGTGCCACAGATGACCCCTGTAGCAGGGGGCCCAGCTGTCCACTCTGACCTCCTCCTGGGTCTTGGACCCTGAGCTGTTCCCTGCAGAGAGTGGGGCCCCCCATGCATCCAGCTCCATCCCCTGCCTGGCAGCAAGGAAGGAAAGGGAGAAGGGGATGGGGTCATAGATTCCCACTCTTGCCAAGCACCACTACTTGCCCACATGTGAGACCTCACAGGGTTGCTCCAAGCCTTGCAGAGCCACCCTGGCTGAGCACCCTGGGGATTTGGGGCTTATTTCTTGTCCCTTATTTATTGTTTCTTGAGCTTTCTCTCACCTAAATTCCCCCCCCTCCCCGCTTCTCTGCTGCCTCAGGCCACCCACTGCTTTTCCATCCCACTGAGGCTTTGGGAATGTCCAGTTGCAGAGCTACTCCTTGCCCTCAGCATCACCACATTCCTGTCTGCCCACAGGTTTTCCAAGCAGGGGTATTCAGGATTCAAACAGATGTGTGCTCCCCTCACTCACAGGGAATGCCTGGGGAGCCAAGGGGATAACAGAGGGGCAGAGGAAGAGCCTCCCTACTCATCCCACACCACCTGAGCAGGGCAGGCTGGGAAGGATCCAACCAAGAGTCTGGATCAAGCAGCAAATTCCCAGCAAACAAACAGGTTCAAAGCCACTGAACTCAAGCCACTGAAGTCAATCCACAGGTCCAGTCTAGGGTCAGTCTGTGGATCAGAGTCCAGCAGAGCAGCTGCAGCTGACCCAGAAACCAGCCCCAGCACAGCTCAGACTAGGACTAAGACCTCTGGGCTGAGCTTAAATAGAGTTCCTGTGCCACAGGCAGGATGTGGGTAGGAGTCCCCAGTGTGGCTGGTGCAGACCATTCATGTTTATTATTGCTCTCAGGGTCCTTATGACATTTCTCTGCTCATCATGCTGAAGCTCTGCAAAGGGATTTGTCTTATAAAAGGGATTTTTCCCTTTTCTTTTACTGTCTGGCTCTTAAAATGAGAATTATCTTGAGCTCTGTAATTTTCTGCTTACTATAGGGATAAGGGCTCAGCAGGGAGCTGGTGCCACCCTAGGATGCTCCAAAGGTTCCTCTAGCATCTTGAGACAGCCCCTGCACCCTGGGAAGACTGGGGTGCACCCTCAGGGAGCTGCTCCTGTGAAACAGCAGCTCCAGGATGCTGGTTAGGATTGGGACAGGGAATCCCTGTAACTGTGACATCTCGGGGGTCCATCTGTACCCCCTTTCCCGGGGTTACAATCAGCTCTGGCATCAGCCTGCTGCTGAGTGCAACGTGATGAGAGGCTGAGACCTGAGCTGGGCAGATATGACGCAGAGATGGATGGTGGCACTGAGACTCTCCTTGTATCAGATGCTTCCACTTTCCGTCCTGCTCCTGTGTACGGCCACGTTGGATGAAAGAAAATATAGAGAGGGCAGGTGGAGGACAGAGTCTCGGGTTACTGTTCCTCTCCAGCTGCCCTGATCTCCATTAGGAATATGTTTCTGGGGTTTTTTTCCCACTTTTCCAGGTTTGGCTAATCTCTGTGCTGTCTCCTCCAGCCCTCTTCATCCCTGCCACCACCAGCTCTCTTCTTGGCTCCTCTTCCAAATGGCCCTTCCAAGCTCACACTTCCTATGGAGTTGAGACCAGGCAAGAGGATGCTGCAGGAATTTGGACCCCTCCTGGGATGGGGTTGGGATGGTGCTGGGATACAAGATGCTCAGAGAGAAACTGTAATGGGGAAAGGGAGGAAGAAACCACTCCTTGGGTCCCAGAGTGACCAGTGTGGCTGCTCAGGAAGGACAGAAGGACAATGTTCAGGATGTAATTCCTTTACTCCTATTTTTTTTTCACCATTCCTGCCTTTCCTATTTGCCTCTTCTCCATTTGAAAGGACTCCCCATCCTCTTTCCCAGCTGTTTTCCCTGATCCCCCATGGCTGGAGTTGTCTGTGCCTTTGTCCCCCTCTCCCTGCTTTTCCTCTCCCACCCCACTGAGCTCATTTCGGCTATTCCATCACTTGGAATAACCCATTCACTCTGTTGTCCTCCAACAAATAAGCTGACAGGCTAATGAATGGCTTTAGATGGTAATTAGCAGTGGAGTTGCTAATAATGAATTTCATTTACATTTTAAGCACTGCAGAGGAAAAATAAGGCTGTCATTAATGTGATGCAGCCTTGGCCTCGGGGGGAGTGTACCCTCCTGAAGCCTTTTCGTGATTGCACCTCACCTGCCTCTGTTTTGGAGGCTGCAATAGGCAGAGTTCAGTAAGCAGCAGTCAGAGGCTGTGGAGGAGAAGCTGCTGCTGCTTCCATCACCCAGTGGTGGGGAAGGTGCCACAAGGCCATGGAAAATGGGACATGGGAGGCAGGAGATGGTTCTGGGCCAGGAAGGAAGGGCTGGATGGTTCAGTGAGCGCCAGGGTTTCATCTGGCTTGGCCAGAGCCCTGGAGCTGTCAGGCCTCGGTGTCCATGTAACCTTCCTAGGTCACCTGGATAATTACCTTGAGGGATTTCTCAGTCACTGAAATATTCCCCCATTATTTTCCCAGGGGTTTAGCACCTTTTGAAGGCAGCAATTTCCCTGAGGGCTTTAATCCATCCCTGCCTGCCTGAGAAAGGAACCAAGTGCCATCTGCAAGGATGCCATAAAGAGTTGCCAAGAGGAAAGGGGGGAAAATGCCATTGTTTTGTCTTCTAGGAGCGAGGGATCCATGGTGGAAGCACAGGGAATAGGCATGCTCACTACTGCAGAGCACCAGAGAGGACTTGGGGATGCTCAAAGCCTGGATCTGGTGCTGGGGGTGGGCCTGGGAGGATTGCCTGCCCTGCCTCAGTTTCCCTCTCTGAGCCCAAGGGGCCTCAGGGAGTGCGGGAAAAGATGCTCTGCATCCCCTGGAGTGTTCCAGCACACTGCTCATAGATCCCATCCCATCCCATCCCACTGCCTACAGACCCCCCCACCAGACCCCAATCCAGTGATTGGATCAGGGGGTGTCCCATATCCACCACCATTTAGGCAGTGGTACACAGAGAAGGCTGCTTTGGGGACCACAGGGATGTGAGATTCATCCTGGACGGGTGGTGATGGCCACATCCTGCCATCACCTCCACAGGCATGGGATCGATTGATTTATTTATGTATTTTTTCAAGCCCTGCTCCAAGTGAAACCAATCCAGGGGCCTGCATAGGCCGATAAGATTTGACTGCAAGTCAATACTCGGCGTGTCTTTCCACTGTGCAATGATCCCCTGGCCAGTGGGGTGGGAGGGGACAGGCAGGTGACAGGGCCAGGCAAAGGGCCAGCCTGGGGCAGGGACACTGCCACTGCCTGGGAAGGCATTAGGGGCAGGAAGGGGACACCTCCTGGCCTGCAATAGGGATCTCCTGGGATTTACTAACAGTAAATGTATTGGTAAGCCCACAGCTGGCAGCTCCGCATCAGGGATGCGGAGATGGCGAGGCTCAGGGGCTGGGAGAGCACCAGGGAGAAGAAGGGAAGGAGAAGGAGAGGGAGAGAAATCACCCATGAAAACCACCTCTGCCACAGCATCTGCTCCTCGGAGCTTTGGGAATTGAGACATTTTCCTGCAGGGCAGAGCCAGGGCTGAGGATGTTGGGGGGGGAGCAGAGCCCTGGCACACTTGATGCATGCCTGGCTGCAATGCCATCTGCTTGGCTTTTTCCTGGCTGCAGGTCCTAGTAGCTTCTCTGATGGCTAATAAGGGTTGAGCTCAGGCTCCAAAGTACTTCCCACAGTCCCCGCTGCATCTTTGTGCCATGTCTGAGCACAGCATGGCTGGGATTCCTCATCCTTCTGGGAATGCTGCAGGGCAGGCAGGCAGGCAGGGTGACTTTTGCTGTTAGCAGTGGGTGTCCTTAAGAGGAGCAAGCGCAGAGAGAAGGGACTAGGTTCTCTTTAAGGGGGCAGGACTTTGGGAGCATCATGAAGGCAAGAGTGAGTTTCTGCCTCTGCCTTCCACCTTCTTCTCCTCGCTTTCCCTTCATTTCCCTGTTTCTGGATGGGGAGCTGGGTTCCCTGCCCTCCCCTTTGCCTGTCAGGTATGAAGGCAGGAGCTGGGTGCTGGGATGGGTGGTTGAGCAGGGGAGGAGGAGGAGGAGGGGAGGAAGGGGAGGGAGAAGGGGAGGATCTGCTAATTACACAGAACAGCTCTGGGGGCTGCTGAAGTCCAGAATGAAGCAAAGAGCAGCAGAAGCGAGTACTGCAGTGGGAGCGGAGGAGCCCAAGCATCACCGAGAGCTGGAGCCAGCTGTCATCCCTGCTGGGAGCAACTGGGTGCACCCAGAGGATCCTGCAGCCCTGTTTCTCACAGAGGACAGCTCTGGCACAGCCACTGAGCCTGCTACCAGCCCCTGGACAGCAGACGGGAAGGGGCTGGTGGTTGTGAGGATGCAGGGCTGGGCTGGAGGGCAGTGAGGTCAGCCCTGCCATGGTTCCACGGTGCTGGGAGCCTGTGTGAACCCACTGGTAAGGGGGGAAGGATGGCTGCTGAAGGAGAGAGAGCCAAGCCCGTTGCCCAGTCCGGGATGGAGAACTTCCGAAAGGTGAGGACGTCGGAGGAAGAGATGCCATTGCCCTTTCCTGACCTGTCCCCTGACGTGGTGGAGATGAAAGTGAAGGAGGGCAGCAAGATCAGGAACCTGATGAACTTCGCCATGGCCCAGATGGAGCTGAAGGGCAGCCGGCAGATCATCTTCAGTGGCTCCGGCAGGGCGGTCACCAAGACCATCACCTGTGTGGAGATCATGAAACGCAAGCTGGGAGGGCTCCACCAGGTCACCAAGGTACGCTACAAAACTGTGCTGGAGGTCTGGGAGAACCAGGACCTGCTGCCCGACAGCCCAGCGCAGAACCTGACCGTCCACAAAAACGTCCCCTCCATCTGCATCCTGCTCTCCCGAGACCCCCTGGATCCCAACCAGACGGGCTACCAACCCCCGGAGCCCCAGCACGGGCTCGGTGAGGCAGGAGAAGACACATTGGGATCCTCCACCAAGGGGCTGAAGCGGCCGCTGCCACCTCCCCGCGAGGAGCTGCTTCCCAAGAAGCTGCAGGTACAGGTGCCTGACAGTCCAAGGGGCTCAGGGACCACTGCTGGCCAGCTGGACCACTGACCACAGTGCTTCCCACCCCGATCAGACAGGTGGAGAGGCAGAAAGATACACTCATTCTGGGGTCACTGGTGGGCTGCAGGCTCTCCCTGACGTGTCCCCACTTGCTGCCGCTGCTCCATCTGATCCCCACAGGTGGGAGGTCTGCAGATTTGGGGTGAGGGTTAAAGTGTTAAATCCGCCAGCTCTTGGTTATGGATTGAAGCAGGGGAGGGTGTGGGGGGGGAGCTGGTGGCCATCCAGGGACACCACGACCAGCAGCCACATCTTGCAGCAACTCCCACGGAGCCAGAGGTGGGGTGCCTGGACCAATACCAACACCGCTTCCCACTGCAACACCTCATCTATCAGGAGATGGTTTTGCCCCAAGCCCACTGGAATAAAACCTTCATTACCAAACCCACTGCTGAGGAGCTGTCAGGGTTATTAATGCTGGGCTCAGTGTCCTCTGGGGCCATGATTCATCCCAAAAAAACACCCAAACAAGCAGGGGGTCACTCCCTCCCTGCGCCTGCAGAGCCAAGTGCTGTGCTGTGCTGTGCCGTGCCGTGCTGTGCTGCCTGTAGGACAGCACAAGGAAATAAAGCAACCTGCATCGCATATTCCAGTCTTTGCTCTCCCCGAGGGTCTGGAGCTGGGGAGCTGGGGGCAATGGGAGTGTTGGGTGGGTGGTTGTCATGGCTGGATGCAGTGCCCAGGGCAGGACAGGGAGGTTTTGGGATCGTAGCTTGGCTGCAGAGCCTGGGAAAGCCCTGGGAAGCAAACTCCCTGCTTCTTCCAGGAGGCAAAGGGAAATGAATGAAAAATAAAAGCTCTTTGAAATAGTTGAGATATGTCTATGGGAAAACAGGGGGATTGTCTTGGCTGCTGAACACAGCATGGATCAGCACAGTGAGGGCTGCTGCTGAGCCAGGACAAGGGGAACCCAGCCAAATCCTGTCCCTTGGAAGAATGGCATCAGGGTCTGCTGTGTGCCCTAGTCTGTGCTGGCATGGCAACGCCTGGCAAAGCCCCCATTCCAGACCCCGCAGCAGGGACCAGGGCGATTTGGGGAATAGGTTATGGGATGCCAAACAAGCTCTAATCCACCTGGTTCCCCTTGGCCCAGCACCTCGGGGCACTGCACAATGAATTAATTGGTATTAGTGAGTGAAACCTTCCCAAAATCCATCCGTGGGGATGCTACGGTTGAAGCCACCTTATCTCCCTGCCTCACTCCCACTATCTTGGGACAGCAAGCATCTCCTCTTTGTCAAGGGCTTGCTTTGCTGGGAATAGGAAACAAAGAAGAGGAGGAGGAGGAAGAAGCAGGGTCTGTTTTGTTTGGCGATGACCTTGCTATCTCCCTCAGCAGGCAGCCGCTCCTTGGGCCAGAGGCTCTTGCTTATCTGCTCTGCCGCAGATTGATTCCCTTCACTTGAGCGTTAATTTCCACTGTATTTTTTTAATGATTATTTTTTGTGGTTTGGGGGCTGGGAAAGCTTTGGGCTCTGTCCCATCCAGCTCTTCCCAGCTCCTCTCCTCAGTGCGGACCCCATTCAGGCTCAACCCTCCGCCCCACATGAGAGCACTGGGTACAGGCTCCTACCCCAAATGCACAAGAAATCATTAATAAAATTAATTAATAAACTCCTTTGATCAGAGCCTAAAGACTGTGGGAGCCATACAGTTGAGCACTAACAGCCCTTCGTCTCCACTGCTGCTGTCTCAATTGGTCCCACCAAGGAGAGAGGAGAAAAAACTGAAAATCACTAGTTTCTCTTTATCTTGTTCCTGTGTAAAATTATTTTATTTGATTTTATAAGCAGATAGTTTCCAGTCTCGGAGGCAACACTTGGAGACCACCCCTGGAATTTTGCACTCCTCGCTTTGCTAGCTGCGGGATGAGGTTTTCCTGCATGAGAACATTAAAAAAAAGTAATAAAATATGACTGTAACCTAAAAAATGGAACATTTAAAACAGGATGATGATACTGGGGGACATTGCGAGTGGAATTATCACGATGTTTTTGTGTGGCACTGCTGAGGCACAGCCCCAAGGATGGTTCTTGGGATGATTTTGTGCCCGTGCAGTGGCTGGTGCAGTGCGATGGTAGCTGAGGGCAGCACCCCACGGTGTGGGGACAAGGATACAATCATGGGTGCCAGAGAGCCTGGGGAACTGCTGGATGCGGCAGCAGAGCCGGACTGAGCCCATTCCCCTCACACGGATGGAGTCGTGCGGGTGCCCATTGACAGGGACGGGGAGGCTACACTGGGCCATGGCTGCGCGGGCTCAGCTAAGAGGCAGCACTCGCAGCCCAAACCCACCACAAACGAGCCTGAACCCCTCAAAAACGAGTCTAAACACCCCCTCGAGTGGCGGCTCAGTGAGGAGGGAGAGGTCCGAAGACCACTCCCCTCACGCACAAAATGGCGGCCGGCCCCGCCCCAAGATGGCGGCGGGTTCCGCCCCCAGTCCATCGCCGCGGCCTCCCGCGCTCCGTACCCGCTGCACGGCTGTACCCGCCTGCGCCAGTCTCCGCCTTCCCTCATCTCCGTCCTTCTCTCCCGGTGCGGTGCGGGAGCCAGCGGCGTGCCCCCGGTGCAGCCTCCCGCCCTCCCTGACACCCCGCCGCCATGCTGGCCGCCACCGCCTCTCTCCTCCGCCGCTGCGCTGTCTCCGGCCTTCGCACCGCCGTCCGCCGGCCCGCCGGCCCCGCAGGTGAGCGGCCGCACGCGTCCGTCTCTCCCGCCCCGGTTCGCCCTCGAGATCCCGGCCCGGCAGGGTGTGAGGCGGCGGAGCCCGGCGTGTCCTTGCGGTGACCCCGCGGCCTAGTGCGGGCCGCCCCCGCCTGTCCCTCCGCCGCCACCGGGACCCCCCCGCCGGTACGGCCTCACATGGGGCCCGGGCACCTCCCCGGGGGCTGCAGCGGGGAGCGGTGGCGGCGCTTTCCCCGCGCCCCCCGCCAAGGTGACATTGATGAAGGGCGGCGGTGACCTCCGCAGCACCGGGGCGCTGACCGCCCCCTCCAGCTCCGGGCCAGCCGTCACCGCTCTAATTAACACCCCGATTAGTTATAATATTAACACCTCATTAACACACCAGTTAATAGGGAGAGGAGGAATAGCAGCCGCAGACAGTACGGTGTGACGGTGGCCAGGGCGGCAGAGCTGGAATACAGAGACTGCAGAGAACACACGATGCCCGTGCATCGCAATGAATAGCTAATTAACCTCTGCATTGCAATTAATAGCTAATTAGCAGGCACTAATAATGCGTGGGACCTGTGTGTGCCTCTGCTGCGGCACGTGTGAGTTTAAACAGCTGCCTTAAGGGAGCGTTTTGCTGCGCCTAAGTAATAAGCATAGGGGTTTTTTAGGTGCTTCTTAAAACCCTTGTTTTTTTGTTATTTTTAAATCCACTAAAAGTCTTTGCTCGCTGTTCCTTTGTGCTGCTGAACCCCCTCTGCTCGTGGCCATCCAAGTTCTTCTTTTCCAAGGTCTTATGTTACAAACACCCCACTTAACACTGCTGTGACCCCTTGGCCTTCAGGGTGGCCTCGGGGGTTTGTGTTGCTGCAGAACCTTCCCTTTGTAATCCCTGGGCTCCTCCTCACTGCCAAATTTTCAGTAAATTAATGTTTTTCTTCGTATGTGTTTTTCTTCTGTGCTCGTTAACAGGGAAAACTGACAAATTCGGGCCCTTGGGGAGAAGCTTTAACATGTTTTTGTGTAATATTAGGTGATTTTAGGCTTCTTAGGCTCTTGATGCCTGTTGTGTTCGTTTGAAAGCAAAGGTACGTGCCCTTTGCTTCTTCCTTGAGTTGGGAATCTCCTCGTGGATAGGTTGGTGTGGTTTGGCTGTCACACACACGTGATGTGTGTGACAGTGACCTTGAAGGACCCCATTCGAGGCAAAATGAATCTCAGAGCCCAGTCCCCAAAATATAAACATTAATATGGAAAACACAGGGTGGAAAAGAAATGTAGCAGCAGCTGAAAAATGCGCCCTGGAAATCCAGAGTTCTAATGTTTATGGTCTTTATTTTCGTTCAGGATCCAGGGAATAGTTTTGTTAAGGAAAGACTTTAGTTTTAAGACTTAAAGGTGGCATTTGAGCACTTCAGTTTAGGCTTTTCTCAAGCTGTGATTGACTATTTCTCTGTAGGATTTTCTTTCTGTTTAGGAAAAACAAGGCTTCACCCCCAAACAGCTGAAATCTGGGGGGTTTTCAGCAGTGTCCTGCGTGCAGGAGCATTTACAGAGTTGTGCTCTTGCTCTTGAGTTCAGCTGTGCAGGTGATTTATTAGAGAAAGCAGGGTCAAAGGTCTGTTTTGGAGTTGGGGAGAGGAGGGGGAATTTCCCTACAGAATGGCAAAAGATGATTATAATTCCAGCTTGGCTTTTCCCTAGCTAAAATACATAAAACTATTTTCATGCTTTCATTGCATAAATCAGAATTGCGGCTGAAATGTTGGACCATGTTAAATTTTGCTAAAAAACCAAAATTGATTTCTTAGAAGTCTGTCATTAGTGAGACTGAAGACAAGGATATCAGCAAAAATACAACCCAGTGCCGGGGTTTCTTCTTTTAAATAAAACTCTGTAGCTGGTCAGCACAAGTGGTTCATGGTGGGTTAAGAAAGAAAAAGCCAGGAGCTAAATTTGACTTCCCTAAAGCGGAGCTTTGAGCTCCAAGGTCGTATCTGGTGTGTGACCTCTGCAAATATTAGTGGAGTGAGATTAGCAGTGGGGAAAGGAAGCACCAGGCTTGTGTTCCTTTAGTTAAGTTCCTTTGGAAAACTGTTCCAACCTTCATGCAGTAAAATAAGACAATTTCATCAAAGAACCCCCCAATTTGTGACAGAGTAGTGTTGAGGGAAGACATTAATTTATAAATCATATCAGACTAATTTGTGCATTGGGGTACAATCTGCTTTTGTGATTAATTATCAAATATTAATGCAATTACAACCTTGAGATCCAGGAGTTTCATCTTGGATAGACACAGAGTGATCATTTTTTTTCTCCTTCAACCCTTCAGCAGCCTGTTGGAAGAAGTATCTCTCATCCCTTTGCTTTTGAGAGCCTTTGTAGTTGAGCTCATGGAGTTTTGGTGATGAATGATGTTATGTTTCTCCAGCTCGCTTGGCTCTGGGAAGAGGGAAAATTCCTGTATCTTACAGATATAGGGATGCCAGAAAACCATCTCTGGATAACCAGTCCTTCAGAGAGGTTTTCTTGTTAAATAATCCTGCTCTGACCAAAGGCTCTGGGGACACTTTGGAAGTCTGATGTGGAAAAAATAGACACTTTGCCATGAACCAAACCAGAGTATTTAATAGCTGTATCCATCCACTGCTTATCCAGGACTGATCCAGACTGACTGTAGCAAGTGAAATCCATATTTTATGGCTTCTGGGTGAGGACTCAAGTACTGTTATTTTCCTTTTGCTCCAAATGTCTTCCTTTGTTTCTGGATCCAGCTGTGCTGCATGCCCGCTGCTACTCTCACGGGTCACAAGAGTCAGATGAAGAATTCGATGCTCGCTGGGTGACGTATTTCAACAAGCCAGATATTGATGCCTGGGAGCTCAGGAAAGGTACGCTGGGGAAAAGGGAAGAGTAACCTGAAGTAAATGTAAGTTTGGTGACCAGAAATAACAACTTTACTTGGCCTTTTTGTGGACTCCCCATCCCTGGAAGTGTCTAAGGCCAGGTTGGATGGGACTTCCAGCAACCTGGTCTAGTGGAAGGTGGGTGGGCTAAGTGACATTTGAAGTCCCTTCCAACCCAAACCGTTCCATGACTTTAGCACCTGGATGGGAGGGAGAGAAACATTTGCCCCAAGGAAAGTGTATGTAAGCTCAGTTTGGTGTGTAACCACACACATTTTTATTTGGACTTTGACCCAGTGGCTTGGCCATAACTGACTGCAGGCTGTTGACTGGTTGTCTCCAATTGTTTGCTGTGGAGTTGCCAAGTTTTGTTAAACTTCCCCAATTAAGAATTAAAAATGTGTTTGCATAATCAGATAATTGCAGCCAGAGGGATCGTTCCAGCAGCACCTGGCTGGCTAGGTGTTGGGCCCTTCCCTTTGAAAGGAGAGAAAAGGAATAGACAGCAAAGGGTTCCTTTTGGCAGCATGGCAAACTGATTCCAAGTTCCTCTTAGTGTTTTCTTGTCTCCACAGGCATAAACACACTGGTGGGTTACGACCTGGTCCCAGAACCAAAAATCATTGACGCGGCTCTGAGGGCCTGCAGACGGTTAAATGACTTTGCCAGCACTGTCCGCATCCTGGAGGTTGTAAAGGTGGGTGGAACTGCTGTGTTTGCATTGCTAGAGCCCGGCAGCAGGAGAGTTTCCCCTGGCTTTTTCCTGCTGCAAGGGGAAACCACTCTTTCCTGTTGCTGTGATCAATGGCTGCATGATGAGCACAAAGCTTACTGGCTTCTTAAGGGATTGAGTGCTGAGCTGGCTGGGAGTAGTGACTCAGAAAGCTGGGTAGGCCTGGAAAACACCTTAAACCTTGAAACTTGAATCCAGCCTTCCCAGGGAGTTAAGAGGAGCCAGCCCTAGAAGCCAGCAGTTCTGCTCTGCCACAAGCAGTGGCTAGTGTGGAGATTTTGGAGGCATAAGACCAATGGAAGAATCTTTCTATGCTGAAATAACACCATTTGTCTTTTTGTTTAGGACAAGGCAGGACCTCACAAGGAAATCTATCCTTACGTTATCCAGGAGCTTAGACCAACTTTGAGTGAACTGGGAATCTCCACTCCAGAGGAACTGGGCCTGGACAAAGCATAAACTTTATTGGTAAGGGATGATGTTGCTTCCCAGACTCTTAGCATGGGACTATTGTACCCCAAAACTCCTGGCAAAGGCAGAATATGGGCAAGACCTGACGTGCTCTAATCCCAGACTAAAATTAAGCCCTAAATAAAAATCCTCATGGAAGTGAAGCCTCTTAACTTGGTTTCTTCAGGAGATGACCCATGTCATATTATTTTTTAAAATATTATGCTTAGAATAGAGATACCATGTGTCAGCCTGCTGCAAATAGTACTTAATTCTGGGTCTTCTAAGTCTTTTCCCTCCTCCTTGCCCTGGCATACCATGTCTTGGTGCTAGGTGTACTGAAGCAGCTGTGCTGGGAATGCAGTACCTGCATTTTTGAGCTGAGGATGGTTAGATGGGGTTTTGAGGGTAAAAGGGATGGAAATAAACCATTTGAAACCTCATGGAAACTTTGTGGAGATATTTGGCTGCTTCTTAAATGGCTTTTCTGGTTCTTTTTTTATTTTCTGTTCTTTTTTGTTCCAGGTGCATTGCTCAAGTGTTTTACTGATGCTACCTGATTGTACACAGTCACCTGGAGACACAAACCTTAAATCTTATCTGAAATAACTTCTTCCTTTATTGAGTCGCAGTGTAAGTGCTGTGGAGTTGGACCTAATAAAGGAAAAACTGGTTTGACTGATATGGTGGCGGTGGCTCTTGTGGTTATTTCTTGCTGCTTTTCTAGGGAAAAGGAAGAAGTAAACCATGAATGTGCTCTTAGGAGTTTATAAATCATTATTTGCTTGGCAAATAATTTGCGTGGCCCCCTGTGTCTGGGGCCTTCCCGAGCACCTGGCTTTGGAAAGGGAAGGTAAGGAGCTGTCTGGAGGGCATCGTGATCCTCCTGTACATGCAGCTTTGGGGAGGGACAGAGCAAGGACTGGACAAGCTCGCCCAGCCCTCGGGGGATTTCCTTGGGATGATGTCCAAAGCCTCAGAGGTGAGTGGGAGGCTCCTGTTTGCAAGGGATGTGCCGTCACTGGAGGGGATCTGTTCTGGGACAGATGGTGCTCCTATTTTCCGCCTCGGTTCTGGTACAGGCAGGGGTTGATAGGGGGAGGGCGGGGAAGTCGGGGCTGGGAGAGAATGGAAATTTCGTACTATTTCCACCGTAGAAAAGGGGAGTGTTCCGGGAAGGCGGGGTTCGGTGTGTTCCCCATTGCACGGCGGGCGCTGTGCGGGGCAGGACCCCTCGCTGCCCATCCCGCGCTCCGTCCCGTCCCGCTCCCACCACGCATGCGCTCCAGAGGGGCGCGCCCCCTGCCCGCCTCCCATTGGCTGAGTCCCGGCAGCCCCGCTCTGCCATTGGCTGGCGGTCCGAGGGGCGGGGCCACAGGCGGCCATGGCGACGTGCGGCGGAGGAGCCGGGACTGGCCCCGCTCCCGGTCCCGCTGCGGGCGGAGCGGGCGGGCGGAGGGGCCCGGCGGTACGGGCGGGGTACGGGGGTGCTGGTGATGTGGGGTGTGGGGCTGGGAGTGAGCGTGAGGCGGTGTAGGGTATATGTATGGCGGTTTTCAGTGGTATGCAGTGGGTGGTATAGGGCTGGGGTATGTCTGTGGGGTAGCGTGGGGTATGTGCATCATGTGGGGCTGGGGAGTGGGCATGGGATTGTATGGGGTATGGGCATGGGAGGTACGGGGCAGTATGGGGGTGGTATGGGGCTGGTATGTGTGTGGGGGGCAGTATGGGGTATGGGCATGGTGGGTTTGGGGCTGGAGTATGTCTATAGAGGAATACGGGGTGGGGCATATACACAGAGGGGCAATATGGGAGTAGAGGGGGTATATGCACGGAGACACAGTGCAAGGATGGTGTATCAGCACCCCTCTAGGGAGGGGTGTGGCACATTCAGAGGGATTTGGGGGTCTGCTGCCTGCCTGGTTATTACCACGATAAGGCTCTGCCCCGCTAATTCCGTTTTAAGACACTGAGGATAATCCTGACTGTGCTCTCCAATCACCAGCCCAAGTCTTCTGCCTTGTTCCTTTAATTTCCCATCCCTCCTGCACCAACTCTCCTCTGCCCTTTCCTGATTTTCCATCTATTTTCTTCATTACTTATTATATTTGTGGAGCTCTTCTCTTCCCCCTTGCCATTAGGAGTGCTGGCTCTCCTTGACAATACCTGGATAAAAGGGGAAGCTTGAAGGCTCCAACCCTGCAGAGAAATTAAAATAAACTATCCTTATATTTTTACTTGATGAACTTGCTCATTAAATCTCCTCCATCACGTGTTTTCCCAAGTATTGCTGGAGCTGGGCTTGCACAGGAGCTGCTGGTCACCACACGTGCTTTTAATTTAGCATCGCCACTCCCAAGTAATCCCTTCATCTGCGACTAGATCTGCTTATTCCTTTTCCTCTCCCTGCTCCTGGTCTGGGAGCTGACCTTGAGCTCCCAGGAATGAATGAGATGACTCTGTTACTTTATCCCCATGGAGAGATGCTGAGTGTGCTTCTTTCCCTCTTTTTTTTTTTTTTAGCTGATTTGGGCTGAAAACAAGAGGCTGAACAAGGGGACGGATACGGTGGAGAAAAGGGGACCATACATCATGAGCAAACCTCCCTCCATTCAGGCCAAGCTGAGTAAATGATGCTTGGTGGACTCTGCTGGGATTTCGGGAGTTATTTCCACCTCTCTGCCAGGGCGGGAGTTACCCACAGCCTTTTTATTCCTTGGTGGGATAAAACCTTCATTAAAAAAAAACCCCAAAACATTAAAAATCCCATAGTGATGCCTGTGGAAAGCACTGCATTGCCCCCATGCTCACCTGCAACACCCCCACCACCCAAAAAACAGATCTTGGGGGAACACATGGGAATTTTTATCTCTGTCCCTGTGCTTGGCTTTCAGAGAGGCAGCGTGAGCTGGTGAAGGCAGCTCTGCGAAGGCAGGGGCTGCTGGGGGGACCCACCACCCCGAAATCGGCACCTAAAAGGTCTGATCCCCTTTTTCTGTTCCCAAAATGTATTTTTCGCTTCCCTTGGGGAGGCTGAGAAATTCAGAGGATTATAAATAAGAGCTTGGGACCTTATTCTGATGGCTCTGTTTGGCCAGGAACATCCAGTATAATAAAATATAGGGCTTTTCTCTTTTATTTGAGGGATGATTTGGTGTTGTAGATTTATTTGGGTTAGCTGGTGGTGGCCCTGGATAGCACCTGGCTGGGAAGGAGCAGGATTCCTGCCCTGGCTCCTCAGTCCATCAGCTCCATGGATGTGCTTCCATGTAAAACATCTGTCCTGGTCTCACTCGGCTGCTTTCTGGCAGGTCGGTGAAGTTTAACAAGGGCTACACTGCACTCAACCAGACAGCTGATGAGAACCTGGTCTCCCTCGACTCAGACAGGTGAATATTCCAGGATTTTTGGGTGATTATCCCAGGATTTTTGGTGGAGGGTGCTCAGAGCTTGCTTTACTTTGGAGATTGATTTTCCTCGTCACTTTTAGAGCACTGAGCACGTCTGAGCAGTGAAATGGAGATGAGCTCAGCTGGTTTAGAGCACGGTGCTAATAAACACCAAGGTTGTGGGTTTGATCCCTGCATGGGCCATTCACTTAAGAGTTATCGATGATCCTTGTGGGTCCCTTCCAACACAGAATACTCTGTGAAATTTCTGTGAAATGCTCCTGTTGTCCCAAATTTAACAAATCCCTTGCAGTTACGCAGGGCTTATTTCCAAGGTTATTTCCTGGCCAGCTGTTTCCTTTTTCTCTTAGTGACGGGGAGCCGGGATCCAGATGTTCCTCAGGATACTCCTCTGCCGAGGCAAGTGCAGGTGTTTGACCGTGTGGCCCCCACGTGCTCCCTTGTCCCTCTCACAACCTGAGATTCTGGATAGGGGCTGGAAGCATAACCCCACGGGGTGTGGATACACGTGTCCCGTCCTACAGAGCTCCACTTTGTCCTCCCACAGCAGGTGAACCAGGACCTGAGCCGGCAGCTGCTGCAGGATGGGTACCACCTCGACGAGGTCCCCGATGATGAAGACCTGGATCTCATCCCCCCAAAACCAGTTGCCTCCTCTTCTTGCCCCTGTTGTTTCGGAGAAAATCTCTCCTGTGTGATCCAATAGCTGCACGAGAACAGGTCAAAATCCAGCACTTTCTTTGTCCCGTGGGACGGCTGTTGCTGTCTGTGTCCCATGCTGGGATGGTGACACAATGACTGAACGATTCTGCTTATGGCAGAGACCAACTGACCCCAGGACTTTTCTTTACACTCAGCAATATCAGGGAGAGGTGGCATGGTGACATTTTGGTGGTCTGGATGGGACCTCTCACCTGCTGAGGTGGGAAAGAAGAGGCAGAGCCTGGCACCTCCATGGAGGTGTAAAGGGAAGGAGTTAGGAGGTGCTGGGTTTGGAGCTAATGGCTTGTTCCTGTTCTCCCCAGTGCTGCTTTGATGCAGGTGGGGGACTGCCTAGACCTCCCCATACCAGCTCCACACAGGGTTTGGATGTGGGGGCCTGGGGACTTTGCTGCAAACCTTAAAAGCTGCCTTAAACCATGGTCCTGCTCTACAACCTAGAGGACAATCAGCTGCTTCAGTACAGAAACCTTATTTAAATATTTCATGTCTAGAGACCTGAACTGTTGGGGTTTTTTGTTTGTTTGTTTGTTTTGTTTGCTTCTGGGGTTTTGCTTTTGTACTTTACTTGTTAAAGGGAGCACTCAATAAACTGAATCTCATTACTTGGAGGGTGTTGGTGCCCTGCTCCTCCCAGCAGCCTCGCTCCAGAGGGCTTCTTCCCTGACTGGTGGGATTTCAGAGCGATCTGTTTTCCCTCATCACATTTTACTCACTTCCTGTTCCCCTGAGGAGCGAGGGGGGGGTAACAACCAGTGGTGGGAGAGTTACAGCTGGAGCTGCTCCCAGCATTTCCTCCAGTCCCCCACCCCAATCCTCCTCCTGCTCCTTGCACCACACTGCCCTGCACTGAGGACAAAGTCACCTCTTTATTCACGGCATCGGAAGCCTTCCCGCTCCATAAACCTGCCAAACAACCCCCTTTTACAGCCAGGGAAGGGGCAACACTGGCTGCCATCAGCCAGGCTTAGAAGAGCCTGCCAGAAGCTGCAGAAAGCCTCAGCCTGCTGTGCTCTGTGCCACATCCAAGGAGTCGATCTATAGAATTGCTCTTTCTATACATCAGGGCTGGGTTTGGGATTTAATAGATGGAGGGAAAACTTCCAAGCGAGATGACTTTGCCGACACCAGTTTCTATCTACTCAAACGTGGAGTGATGGGGAGGAAGTGTTCCAGGAGGAGACAGAAGTGTCTCAGAGGAGGCAGCAGGCTCGGAAGAGCAGCATCCCATCTGGTGAGGAGAGGTGCAGGGAGATGCTCTCGTTAGCTGAGATGAAGAGCACGGAGCCACGACACAGAGACATCTCGGAGGCTGCGGCTGTGGAGGTGCCCACAGCTGTCCCCTGGATCACCAGCAAGATGCTGGCAGAGTCTATGGCAGAGATGAGGTACAGCTTGATGGAGGCAGGGATCTGCAAAGGAAAATGTCACTGTGGCTGGAGTCTCCCCCAGCTTTCCTCCTCTACAGAGAGCTGGGACGGGGTTATCTCCATTCCCACCCCTTTGCTGCACCTGCAGCAGCCCAAGCCCAGGGGCCTCAGCTTGGCTGAGGACACCCAAGACCTGCTCCTGGTTCTCCCTCTGCCCGGAGCTGCTAGAGAAGGTGAATGAGCTTCAGGCAGAAGGAACAGGGGAGGGATAAAGAGACAAACATCACATCCCCAAGCATCCCTTCCCCCTCACTGGGGCACTAACTACAAAGGTGAGTGAAGCCTAGCCAGCCCTGGGTCATCCTACCCGGAGCCCAGCCGAGATGTGTCCCCCGACCCATCACCGCTCACCTCTATCCTCATGATGGCAAAGTCTGGCACAGGTGGGTCATAGACATAGACGTTGGGATCAAGCTGGCTCTGCACAGCTGGGAAGATCTTGGAGCTGCTGGGCGCTGGCGTGTAGTTGAGCATCTCACACAAGGTGAGCACATCGATGAATTTGGGGGTGAGCCCGGCCCGCACCGTGTTATCTGAGCATGCCATGCACTCCACGCAGTCTGCAGGGATGAGGCAGTGCTGTCAGCCCACCCCAGCCCTTCCAGATGTCCCCGTGGCCAGTCCTTGCAGGACGGTGGGTTAGGAGAGCCCCCCATGACACTCACCTCCACGCAGGTAGGCATGGGGCTCATTGGCTCCAAGGAACATGGCCTCCCCTGGCTCCAGCTTTACCAGGTTCAGGAAATAAATGGTGAAGCAGCCAATGTCTCCTGGGTACTGGGAGTGCAGCCGCAGCAGCAGTTCCCCATTGCTCCCTGATGTGTCCTTCCCTTCCTCTGCTGCGTGAGAAGAGACCAGGCACAACATAGGAAGGGAGCCAGGGGGTGCCCTGGCCCCTCCCCTACCCACAGCCCACCAAATTGTTTTGAGAGCCACAGCGAGGACCCACCTTCCTGGGAGATCCTCTTCACCAGCATGTTCAGCTGGTCAACAAAGAACTTCTTCTCGCTCTTCATGAGGCGGGTGAAGCACACACGGAGAGCGGCCGAGACACCACGGGGGTCGTCGCTCCCGCTGCGCTCCAGCTGCTCCACTGCCACCTCCCCGATCAGCGCCCGCAGCTCGGGGACGTCTACGAGGGGCCAGCCTCAGTCAGAATCAGCACCCCCATCCTAGAGGAGCATGGCCCCCATCCCTGCCCCAAACCCCATCCCAGGGGAGCAGTGCCCTCACCCTGAACTCCATCTTAAGGGAGCACAACCCCCATCCCCACACCAAACTGCATCCCGAGGGAGCACGGCCCCCATCCTCACCCAGAGCCCCATCCCAAGGGAGCCTATCCCTCATCCCCACCCCAAACCCCATTGCAAGGGAGCATGGCTCCCATCCCCACCCTGGGGTCTGACTATACACCCTTCATCCTTACTCTGGAGGAAGGAGACAATCTCCTCCACGGGCCGGAAGCCGCACAAGCCCTCGAAAGGGGTGAGGGCGATGGCCATTTCAGGCTTGTGGTTGGCATCGGGATAGTGCTCAGGAAACTGGGCATGCAGCTTTGCTGCCAGCTCCTGGAGAGAGGGAGAGAAGCTGGGTGACATCCCCAGGGACACAGCATCCCGCTGGGCTGCCCATCCAGGGCTCTCCTTACCTTGTTGGGGTGTGCCTGGATAGAGAGGGCAGTATCGACTGAGAGCACCTTGAAGAGGAAGGGCAGCTGTCCCTGGAAGGTGTCCTTCACCTTTGTCCCCAGGCAGGCGGGGTTGTCGGCAATCCACTGGCCTAGGGTTTTTTGGGGGATGCGGTTATCCCGGATGATGGCATCGCCCCGGGGATGTGCGCCCATCCAGAGCTGTGAGACACAGACAGACTGATGGAACCCTGAGCTGGGCAGCCAACACGGATGACTTGGGCTTTTTTAGAGGCTGCTTGGCCCCACAGGTGATCCGTGCAGCCAAGGCAGCTCCCTCGGAGGCTGAATCACGCCGGGCTTCTCCTCTTCAACCCGGGCAGCCCCCAGAGGGACAACTGGGGGGGCGGGTCAGGATCCCCTCCCGATGGGATACAGGATGGTGAGAGCCACAGCCGGGTGGGCGGGACACAGGGGTGTGACAGACACACGAACGGCATGGACACACAGACGCACTCACCTCCGCGTAGGGCCGGTCAGGCTGGATCTGGACTAGGGGGTCACCACTGCTCAGCAGCTTGGCTACCTCGCTCTCCAGGCCCAGTTTTCCCCAGGAATAGTTCTGCACCGCGCAGGAGAGGGGGAACACTACGGGAGAGTAGTAAAATGTTAGCGGGAAACAGAAAAAACCCCCCAAACCCCTTCCAGACACCGCCAAAGCCCCCAGTGCAGGGTGAGAGGGCATCAGGGAGATAGGGGACCAAGGGCTTGGGAAAGTAGAGTGTATGAGGGGGGCGATTTTCAACCATCATACGGCGATTTCGGCACGCTCGGGCTGCGGGCAGGGGTCACGGTTCCTCCGCCCCATCGTCCTGGGGGTATTCCTGGGGGTGGTCCCTGTCCGCATCCCCACCCCGGGCGAGGGGTGCCCCGTGCCCCGCTCACCCCGGATCTCCGCCATGGCTCGGCCGGACAGGTCTGACCCCCCCTTCTCCCCCTCCCCCCCGCCGGCTGGAAGCGCCGCTCTGACGTCACGCGGCCACGCCCACAGGGTTAACACCGCGCGAGGTACATGCGCCGCTGTGACGTCACGCGGCTCCCCGGTCACGCGGGTGCCCCGGAAGCGCCAGGAGCGGCGGCGGCGGGAGCGGAGCGGACCGCGCCTATGTCGGGCTTCGACACCAACCCGTTCGCCGACCCGGTGGACATCAACCCTTTCCAGGTGGGCGCGAGGCGCGGCCGGACCCCCCTCACTCGGCCCGGCCCGGGCCCCCCCCCGGCCCCCGCCCGCCGCCACCGGGACGTGGCACTGACTGAAGCGTCGCTGGCCAATGGCGGTGCCGCTTCTCCGCGTCGTAGCCAATCAGAGAGAGGGGGCGGGACCCCCGCGCCCTGAGGGCGGTCTGGGCGCAGCCTCCGACGCACCTCCGGCCGGGCCGGGGGTCCCGTTCCCCTCCCTGGTCCCCCCGATGGAGCCACGGGTCCCGCTCCCCCTCCCTACATCCCACTCTGGACAGGGGTCCCATCTCCCTTCCCCATGCCCCCCTCCAGACGGGACAGGGGTCCCGAGCCCCTCTTCCGGGCAGGACAAGGGGTCCCGCTCCCCCTCGCTGTACCCCCTCTCCGGGCGGGGCTGGGGGTCCTGCTCCCCGTCGCCGTGTCCCCCGCACAACCAGGGCTGGGGGTCCCACACCCGCTCCCCAGTCCCCCGCAGGTCACGCAGGAGCGCTGTGACCCACCCGGGGTCCCCCCGGCTCTGCGCGCCGCCGCTGGGATCCTTCCTACTGCCACTGGGATCCTTCCTAGTGCCGCTGGGATCCTTCCTAGTGCCGCTGGGATCCTTCCTAGTGCCGCTGGGATCCTTCCTAGTGCCGCTGGGATCCTTCCTACTGCCGCTGGGATCCTTCCTGCTGCCGCTGGGATCCTTCCTACCGCCCCTGGGATCCTTCCTACCGCCCCTTCCTCAACCCCCGTCTCCCCCCCGGACCGGGCTGCTCGTCTCCTCAAGGAGGAGTCTCCTGCCGCCCTGTGCTGCCAGACCCGCTCACCCCCCACCCCCCACCCCCCCAGGCTGTGGGGAAGGGGTTTGCTGCCTCTCAGGATGCCAAAACAGCCGTGAATGCCTAATTTGTGGGCTTATTAAAAACAATCAGTTGCTGAACCTCTCTTGGGTGTGCTGCCTGGTGGTCTGGCTGTCTGCTGGGTCTTTCTGGGTCTATTTTTAAGGTGCTTCAGCTCTAAACAGTGAGCCCCTAAGGCATCGTTTGGCTGAGGTTTTCAGGGTCCAAAGCATGGGATTTCTGTTGATGTCACTGAGGACTTGGTCTGTGTTCACTGAGTTTCTTATCTCTGAGTTAACCTCCATGCTCTGAAAATGGGTCACTTATGCAGGGAGTTGGCCTGGAATGGCCTCTGGGACCTGGAGCCTGTGCAGGGGTGTGCGAAAATCAGTGTCTGGCCTTTGGCTCCTGTCTGTGAGCTTAACCTCACCTTTACTCTTGGCTGAGATGTGATCCACAGGAAGGAATGATTCCCGACCTCGGATTTC